TGAGCAGACATATGACCCAGTTTTTCCCTATTATGGATAGTGAGCACTTCAAAAGGTACAGTTTTGATCAAAGTGCAAAGGGTTGAAATCAAAGATAAAGTGACTATTTTCTAAGTACAACATACTTGATTGGCTTGATGAGGATTATTTGTTTTGGGTGATAATTGGTATATTGCTTTTCTATTTCATATCCACTCTAAGAAAAAATGGTCTCTGAATGACAAAAATAAACACTTCTTCAAAGGTTTATATTACTGAGAACATAATATGTGGAAGGAGGGCAGACATTTCCTTCTCATGAATTGGGATTGACATTTATCATGCAGTCAGATATATTGCAGTTGTTAGATATGAAGCCTAAGGTCTAAAAAAACCATTATTCATATACCTTGTTATTATCATATAACTTTATTAAACACAGTATGGTGATTGATGACAAACCAGGTCAATTGCTCTGACATTATTCCTCCAAATGAAAATAATCTCAATGCTACACAAGTTTAGATTTTTTTTCCTGTTTGCTATTTTTCTTTCTGAAAAGATACTTTCACTTTTACAGTCCCCTCTCCTTAACCTAGATAGCTGCTCAGCTGCAATATCCTCTGGGAAATAATAACAGATTTTCATATGGGAATGATCTGACTCTTCCATTTACCTGGAGACTACACAAGGATTAGATAACTAGATGGGAATAGAATTTTACTCAACAGAAATTAGGAGCTGGACCCTGCCAGTCACTTATGAGCATGCTCAGATTTCTTCACATGAACAGTCCCAACAGCCTAGCTCACACCCATTCCTCCATCCTATCCCCTCTCCACTATTCCTCAGGATACATCCCTAAACTGAAACTGAAAGGAACAGGACACCTGACCTTTCAAGTATGCAGCCTCCTACCTGTACTACTCATGGAGGGAGAATGGCCCTTCCTGTGCAATGTGTGTGGGAAACCAATTAAACTTTGATTAATGGATAAGATTACTCATGTAGGTGATTAGTCACATCAGAGTTTTCATGATCAGGCCTTAACTTCTGGTGTTTCTTCCCCCATACACTTGATGATGTGATGAGTTCTTCTCCAGGGAGAGAGAACCTTGGGAAATGCAGAGCAGAAGGTGACATTTAAGAACTTACAGCAGGGGAATTTTACTCATTCTGGGACTAGTGCGTTTTGTATGTGTAGGCATTATCATTAATTGAACACTTGTTTATGTCTCTAAAAATAATTTAAAATACTTTTATTTCAAAATGCAGTCTGGGTATGACTTTATTACTAGTCAGAAAGTATTTAAGAGGGCCTGCACTTCTACAGAGTAGGAGGAAATTATGTTTACCACCCTCTCTTAAGCTGATCTGCAAAATGCTGTCCTTTTAAATGTCTCCCAGGAACAGATTTAGAGTGAGGATGGTATATTTTCAAGCCTTGTTTTTCTCTGTTGTTCCACCCAAATGCTGCTTTTGTTTTCTTTTTTACTTCTACCTTCCTTCTTGAAGCATGATTATTAACCACTAAAACAACCAAAACACATGCTCAGTGCAAGTATCTAGAAGCATTTAGATATTCATTTTGATTCAAGGACTATATTATTTAAGACTGTCATTTGAGAATAAAACAATTAGACTATTTATAGTAACTCCTGATACATCTTTTTATACTGCTAATAAAGTGGTGAAGAGATGCACCATCCAAATTACAGTGTACTGCAGCACCTGACTTCAATGAAGCTCAAGTCAGCTGATTGAAGTGGGATTTAAGCAAAGGAAGGAAGAAGCTCTTCCCTGACCTTCGAGTAATTCCAACAAAGTATTTTGCTGCTACACAGTTTGGCAAACCCAGGATCATTGGATATCCTTCCTCCTTTACTTTGGAAAAGGTTCTACATTTCCCTGCTTAGGTGCACTGGACTCCTGAAGGCCCAGCTGTGGAACAGAAAGGGAGAGAATATCCCATGAGTCATTATACCAGCCCACTTTTTCCTCTTTAGGGTAGGGTGGCACAAGATGAGCAAAGAGGATTATTCAATGGTCAAGGGCTCCAGTTTTTACTGGATGAACCCTGCAGGTTCACTGGAGTCAGGGTCCTCACACTTTGGGCTTCCCAAGACAGAAGGAGGTCAATACTTTGCAGTGAATTTTCCAGGTCTTTGACCACTGATTATTATTACAAGCCTCATTAAACCCTATTCCTTGGGAAAACAATGTAGTTAATATGCACCTGTTACTTGTTTATTGCACATGGTATCAATGCATTTCTTCGCTCTTTCAGAGTCAGTTCACACTGAGCAAAAAAGAGCAGTGATTGCCTCTATACATACATAGAATACCTCACAACATGCAAGCTTGTAAGGATAAGGCTTATGTATTGCCTTTTTCCAAATGACCTGAGGGTATCTTTTTACTGTTTAATACACTGGAGGGCACGGATGTCCTCACTGGACAAAACTGACTAATCAGGGATTAGGAGCAGCACAGCTGCTCCCTGATAGCACCAAGCCTGCTGAGCATCTGGGTCCATCAGCTCAGGCAACACAGCTCTGTTGCTTTGAGCTCTGAAGAAAGTGAGCATTCTGGAGAGTTCCTTGTTAGGTTGAAAGTCAGAATCACTGCACTGTAACCCACAATGGGCTGGGGATGTACCCAAACCAAATGGCTTTGGTTTGCGGCTTAGATAAAAAACAAGAGTGAAATGTGGTCTAAAATTAGGGATCCCTGAAAAGTTTTGTGCATCTGCCTTTAGGATGTTGGTGGCTCACAGGGAGCCTCATGGCCTGAGTGAACCGTTGATGGCATCAAGGCAGCACAGCTGTTTACCATCATACAGAAAGAGGAAGTGCACAGAAGTGACATGTCCAGTTCCCAAATAGACTTAAAATATACCAAACACTCAGTGTAAGCAACTGTCACCAAGTGCTACATGAATATATGGGGTGCTGTGGTTTGGAAGAGGAAGTGGTGGATGTTAGAGGGTCCATGGGAGTTTTTCAATAAAGCTACTGCTTGTACTTTCATCACTCCTTATTTCTGTGGTACTAGATTTGACACAGCTGTTGCTTGCACGGCTTTCCTTTGGAGAGTCAGAAAATCCTAAAGCTGTCATTTAGTGAGTGATACTCTTCTATAAACTATCTGGACTTCTATAAATATTGCTGACTGTATGCAGGGCATCATTAATCTTATCTTCCAGGGAACATCTCTAATCACAGTTCTACCCGCCCATGTCAATCTAGGACACATCCAAGCCTTAGAAATAGCAGTGGAAAAATCATAAAATGTTCTAACACATGGAGTTGGCAGACAAGTGCCAGACAAGATCACAAACTGTGCAAAATGAACAGTTTGCAAGTGAATGTGCTTCCCTCTTTCTCACATCCAAGCTGGTTGAGTATCCTATGATGATTTCAAATTAATGCACTAGCCCTTTTTTTTTTTTCCTTCTTTGTGAATTTCCCTTTAATCAGAGCTGCCTACCTGACAGTAACACAATTGCGTGTACTGGAACATCTTTCAATGTTCAATGACCAAAGTGGTCTCTTAGTTTACATTATGAATTCAGCAACAGTTTTCCAGTTAAAACAGGAGGATGTTGGAATGGGTGTTAATCTGCTGTGCAAGAACTGCAAGACCTAATTACAAACTCTTTATATAAGCAATTAGTAAATAAGAAAGAAGAGCTGGATGCTTCTGTTGACGATTATTTTAACTGAACTCACAATTCAGGAAAAAAATCATGAATGCCAAGGAAATTGTTTTCTTTATTTCCGAGTTGGACTTAATACATGTCTCCCTTGGAAAAAGGTTCTCTATCCATTGCACTAGAATCAAACTGCAAAAAGTGAATTTGTGGTAAGTTCATGTATCATTTTGTTCTGGAGAGGGCTGGAAAGGGTTTTTTTTTGGTAAGGATTTTGAGGTTGGGTTCTGTAATTTGGCTTACTTCCAGAAAAAGAAAAGAAACAGTGCTGCCTGGTAGACCACACAGGTAAGACGTAATATGGGCTCTTCCTGTGCCCAAATAAGTGATCTAGGAACACCAGCTTGCACTGTGTGGCTGAATACAGAAGTACTTTATCCTCAGCAAAGGCAAACATATGGCACTGGCAACATTCCAGGGAAACAGACTCGCACAAACAAGATGATAAATATATGGCTGATGTTGATTGTCCTAGCTGTTAGCTATTATTTATGGAGCAACCTTGAAGTGTGATAGAATATAAGATGTGACACTCTTTATTGCAGCAGTGGCTAGAACTTCAAGGGCATTTCCAAGTTTTTACCCCAGCCATTAGTTCACATTCTCTGTCAAGTACCAGCCTGGATAATTTTTCAGCTGTTCATGTACCAATGAGATTACAACTCCTTAAGCAGTCTTACTGCCTTGTATTCAGGTTACATAGTTATCAAGGTATAGGTTTAGAGTTTTAAAATCCATATTTTGGTTTTGTTGGGTTTGTTTTTTTTTTTATGAGGGTAAGATGGTGGGCATTTTACATGTGGAAGCTTTTCAAAGGTTGTGATTTGACACTTCTTTCTGAAGCTCTTTGTATGCATTTCAAGATATCTTCATTTCCATCACACACATTTCAAGATCCAGGTGCTTCAGAACACAGCCTGCCCAACTGATACCTTATAAATTACAAAGTGATTCCTGATGGGGTAGCAAACTCATTATAAATTAATTTAAAAACTAGCAATAAAGTCTAATGAGCCCATTCTTCAGTAGAATTTTGTTCAAAACTTTTGTGAGGGCATCTTTCATTATACATTCAATTTTGATGATAATTTGTAGTGATTGCTCAAAATTAACACTTCCTTCTGCTATCAGAGAGAAGATAACTACTTAGAGAAAATTTCTTAACATATCCATATAGTCTTGCATACACGTTCAGTGTCACTGAAGCCAATTCCCAAGGTATATGTTTAGTAACTGTGTTTACTATGCAACCATGTAAACAGATTAGTGACTCCTTACCAGAATTAAAACAACAGCAGGGAAGCAAAAATAGAAGTATAGATTTATTAGAGAAGTTATCTAAAATACAATATTATTTTCCTTTTTAAATTAGAACATATATTATTTCAATGAAAAGATAGTTTGAATTATTTCTATGGTAATAACAAATTTTAAAGATAACATTTAATTTAGAACATTTTGAATTAAAAAACCCAACACTACCATTAAGACATAACTAAGGCTGTTGACAGCATGGGTAAAAATGCAAAATAGTCTCAAAAATATTTACATGTCAGTTTCTTAAAATCTAACAAGTCTAATTCTAAATATTCATTTTGCTTAACTTTCTCAAAATACCTTTTTTCACTAAATTATAGCTAGATTCTGTATTCCTGTGCTTCTTACAAAGCTTCAAGTTATCGTTAGTTACGTGTACTATCACACCAGTAGATGAGGTTTCTTAAAATGGCTTATTTTGCTACCACCATATCCTCTCCCAAGTGGCCAACTTACTGTCATACCAAAGCGTCAGTCGCAGTAATAGTCACCAAAATGCACACAGCCACCCACCCCCTGCCTCCCCCAACCCCACACCTTAAGAACCCTTCCCCATTCGGCCAAGAGCCTTTCACATTTCAATAGCTGGCATTTCAGATGCAGAGCAAAAGAAGGAATGGATCTGGGAGACAAGATGTTGCCTGGGCACACATGGCAAAGTTTGAGATTTGGGCTTAGCAAAAGGGGCTCCTCACAAACACAGCAATTCCTAACACTTGCAGCACTGAGGTTACTGGAAGGAGGCTCTGACTTCTCTGCTCTTCAAGGGCTGACACGGGCGCCAGTTGTCCACCATATGGCACACGGGCTCATTCTCAGCATTGAAGCAAAGGCCACGGAGTTTGCACATCTGTGGGAAAAGGCAGAGATATCCTCAAATGCATTCTCTCATTTCAGCAGGACTTATTGAAACTACATGTCTTGGGCCTGAACCAGAGCTCCAACCTGAAGTTTTGCCAGTACTAGTAGTCTAGAGATGGCATCAGAACCCACACATCTGCATTTCATTCACACCATTTCCAGCCTCGACATAGCCTCTCCTGTCCACAAAATAGCCTGGCAAGAGCAACTGTGAAACCACAAAAAACAAGGACATAGACACACATTTTCTGAACTCCACAAGCAAAGAGCTGTTTGTCCTTGATCCAGATATGAACTGAAATCCTTTCAGAATCCTCTGGAAGTTCTACAGTTTTTTCTGTTTTTTTTAAGTACACTTGAAATAATCACAATTAAAAATGGCTTTACCCTTGGGTCAAAATAAAGCTGTTGAATGAATTCAAGTTATCCTGATTTTCAAATGCTGTGAGAGGCGAAAACAGCTTCACATCTATAGGAGCATACTGTATAGTTATGGTACTTGTTCCTAAAGTACAATTGGTGCTTGCACAACCTGATGTAAAAAAAGGACCTTCATGTCTAAATAGGAATCTCCAAAACTCACAAAAAGATTGGGCCAAAATAATAATCCACCCCAGGTTATAGACCAGGTTTTTCCACATTCAAGGAAAAATGGCCTCAGCAGTAACCTGTGTCCGCTGGACTTCACCTTCAGGACCAACCAGAAGAAAGTTCAGAGCTCAACCTCTGCCAGGAACTACTGTGTCACAGTAAGTGATAGCAGGCTTGCTATACACCCTGCTGTTATATTCAGCTTCTTTTCAGCTTCTGAAAACCTATCCACCTTAAACCTTGAATCAATACTCTTATATATGGTTTCTTGTTTTGGTCAGTATGGGAATGAAAAAGCAAACCGCCACACAGTGTGGAAATATTGACAATAACATGGAGGGATGCGTAAGGGAGAAATAAGTGGTAACTTTTTCCACTTGTAGGTGGTTGGAGTAGGTATAGTAGAAAAAAAAAACCACTATTTTGATGGGTATGCTCCTGCCTTATAATAAAACCATATTTGCAAAAAACCATAATAAAACCCTATTTGCAAACTTTGGATTATCAACAGTAATAGGAAAGTGTGGAGTAGTGTCAACTTTAATGCTCCCTTGCAGTTTACTAATGACAATCGATCACTGCTATAGTTATTACTTCCAATAGTTCTTGCTTATCACATATTCTATCTTTTATTATGTTAACTTCTAAAACACCTCAGCTGCATTTTCTTTCATATCCGAAACCCCCTAGAATTAGGTGCAGGTTGTTAGCATGTCTACCATCAATAAAAGATACTTAGGAATTTGAAGGTTAAACTAAAGCCCTTCAGGCCTGGTTTGTATTTATAGGCTCTAGATTCTATTTATATCCCTCAAGCACACAAATCTGAACCCAAAAATGGAATCTTGCCTGTACGTAATTTCATTAATGGATGGCAGAGAAAGCTGGGGCCAAGAGTGATTTAATCTGCATAAGCTTCTTCCTTCTAGGAAGACTATCCTTCTCAGGCTGGTCAACAGAGTATTTTCTTAGGCAGCAGTCTTCTGGAATCTGCAAAATTTGCCTCTTCCAAACAATGGGAGTTTTGTTAGAATCATCACAAAACTGCGTAGGATTTCCCAGTCTGTTCTGTGACAAACAGAACTTGCAAAAAGAGCTAAGTGTCCTGGAAATGCTGGAAAATCAACAGACTAACTAGAGCTCTACAGTGTGAGACTGTGGATGCAGGTTCCCAGGTGCTTTGTAAACCTGGCCTTTTCAGGGCAAGCACACCCGGAGAGGTAATTGGATGTACAGCAAACCTGCTGATGCTCACAATACATGCTGGACTAACTCTGCATGTGCAAACGGTCCTTTCATGCATGCCTCAATTTTCTAGATTTTTACCACATGACAGCTCTAACCACGTATCCGGAAAATATCGGATAATTTTTTAAACTTCCCCCCCATCTTCCCTGGAGTGCACAAATAGAAGACAGCCTTACATTCTACAGCAAACTATACCCACAGGCAGAAGCAGAGTCCTGTCAGAAGAGGATTACCACTTCAGATAGGTATTTTTGACATGTGATGCTAGCTCTGCACAGCTCTGCACTAACACTGCCACTTCATAGATCACCTGGTGGGCTGAACTGAAGCCATCAGTGCAACTTCAGTACACATCTAGTGGCACTATCCATTGGAAACCTACCTGCTCAGGGCTCACAGTGATGGGCTCCTTCAGAACGTGCCAGATCACACATTCAAGCAGTGGTGGAGTTGTCAGTGAGCCAGGGTATGTCCAGTAGTCTCTGCATGCAGGAAGGAGTCCAGTGGGGTCAAAATTTGTAAAGGAAGCTTGCTTTCCCTACAATAAAGTAAGCAAATGGGCTGATGTCAGGGAAAGAACACACACACACTAGGATTGCAGTAGTGAAGTCTCCTAGGAAAGCTCCATGTTTGTAGGAAGGCAGAAATGGAATTTGGCATCAAGTGTTGCATGCCAACTATAGTACCTTTGGGATTAAATACTCTCAGCAACAAGCAATATATTCTTACAAGATTTTCAAGATAATGCTGCATTTATGCTCTTTGATCTTAGAGATAAGATTTAACCTTGTCTGAAAAACAATGAGATTTCAGATGTCATGTACACTGATTGCATTGGAAACGCAGAACCTGTGAGACCTGTTGGAGAGTCCATTGCAGTAAGCAGCATTATACCTTTACCACAAACGCAGCCTGATGAGAAAGATGACAGCATAGTCTCATTTTTTACCTTTCCTGTCCACATTTTCTCATTGGCCTTTACCCACTATGAAGGTACCTAATTACTAAGTACTTTCAGTTTCTCATTACTCAGCACACTAAAATCACACACACACTGCACACAATATTTAAGATACAGGAAGATTTTTTTTCCCCTAAATGATATATCCTGATCAAACTGTTTATCTGAACTCTCTCTAGAAATAGCCACAAGAAGCATGCCCTCTTGGAAAAAGGAAATTTAACCCACAGGTGCACAGATGAGGGGAAATGCCTTTTCCATCTGTTACCACAGACTAGAAAGGACATCTAGGAATGTAGTTTAGATTAGGAAGATGAATCCTATCCTATAGGTTTAAATAAAATTAAAAGACAGAGAAACGTAGATAAGAAATAATCACTGTTTCTAGTACTCCATGCTCTCTACCTCAACTTCATTCCAATCTGTTTTGCTTTTAGAATTATAGGAGCAAGTTTGTTTTACTTTCATATATGCAGAAGGCAGGGAAGAAGTAAAAAAATCTACTTTCCAAAGAAGATAACATAGCACAGTTGTGATGGGTGTCCATCAACACAGACAGCAAGTATTACCTTGGTTTGAATGGAGCTCAGAGCATCCACAACCTTCTGCATCTCAGGCTTGGCATTTCCCACCTGCAACACAAACCACATGAAAGTAAAAATCACCATGCATTCTCATGACACCTTTAGTTTTCTGTTACAGTTCTCAAGGAAACTTTTTTTCCAGCCCCATTTCATTACAGAATAGGAGTATTACAGCATAAGTGACTTAAACAGGCTCTGTAAAATCATGCCAGTTGACAGTGAGCACAAACGGGTCAGCCAAGGACATTGCACACAATGAAGCTATTTTCATTTACAATGCGTGGATTTATTTTTGGACCTAAGTTGTTCTTCTTTTATGGAAGTCACCCTCCTAATAAAATAGTCACCCTCAGTGAGGCCAGGATGGAATACTACGTACTGCTGGAGCAGACACCTCCTCCAGCTAGCTGTCAAGAGAATTCAACTAACACAAAACACTCTGGCATTTAACAATGACAAGAAAAGGAAAATAGGTTTATTTAGGCTGGTCACACTGCAGATTCACACAACTTGTTCAGTTATACACACCACCTTTCACTGCTAAGATTTAAGGTAGCATCACTGTCTTGATGAAGGCAAGAATGCTGCTACAGGGCTGCCACAGTGATAGATGGCAGTCATACTCCATGGCCAGTGTACAGTTGTTATAGATAAAGGAAGGTAAGAATTTGGAGCACCACCTGGTTTGCTATGGATTTGGGTGGTACACCACAATGCTGCCTTATTCTCTATTTACTGCTCTTAGGCTCTCCCCACAACACAGTGAATTTGCTGGACAAATAATAAAAAAGCTTAACAAACCTTCATGAAGATGCCCACCACAGCTAAACCATCAGGATGCTTCACAGCTTCAGCAAATTTACCATATTTTACATTCCAGTGAACAATATGGAGCTAGGAGCAAGAAAACAAAGAAGCACTGTGAAGATTATATTCCATATAGAATACTTCACAAATGAAGAGGCAGGGAAGTAATTTATTAAGAGCAAGATGGTGTTTTACTGGTGAGGTTTGAAAACTTTTGTGTACAGTTAAGAATTTGTTGAATTATTTATCTACTTTAAAGTTTCATTTATTCAAAGAGATTTCTGTAATGTGTCTCATTTTGCTCCTCACTCCTAGTCCCTGGTGAGTTTTAAAGGCAAGCTGTGGCTGTATCATTCTGCTTTTCATGTGGTGAAACTCCTGTTATCTTCAGCATAAGTTTTTCCCACATACAGCCCACAGGATTTCGATGTAGTATTTTAATGCTATATATCCTGGAGCTCTTACCACACTGACATATATTGCTAGTGTCAGAAGAAGCAGAGAAGACACATTAACTACAGATTTGACTCACAATTTGGAAGGGTTTTTTAAAAAAAAGAGTCCTGCCCTTTACTGGAAAGACATGAAAAAGAATATGAAATTGATCTCCAGGTCATGTTAGCCAGGATGTTACTTTCTTTTTAATTTCCAAGTTATTTCTAATTTAAGTTCATCAGGCTGTTTTCCCACATCTGCAAATCAAGCTGAACAAGTAATTATGGTACTGTGAAAGACAGAAGGTAATTGAAAGTTTCTCAGGTAAGATAAAAGCTACTTCCCTCATGAACAAGCAGCAGAGCCAATGAATTTGTGGGGCAATTTCTTTTATCTGTCAATGCAAATCACAGGTATGTTCCACAAATGTGTATTTATGAATATATTTTAGAAGTCAGTCACAGAAACCAGAGGTAGATTTCTAAACAAGGGATGAGGAAAGGTGGGATGCAAGGCATAAAGTCACTCAGTTTCTGTAACAGACTGCAATATGGAGTCTAAAGTGGACTGAGGGACATCCAGAGTCTCAAGGGTATCACAAAGAGTGCCAGACAGTAAGATTGCACTTCACTGTCTGACCTCTTCATAACTCCCCTTGATTCTTTGCTACCAAAATATGAAAATATCTGCCCCAAAATTATTCTACTGCTTTTATAAATATCTCTGATGTTAAAAACTGAAGCTAGGAGAAGGGGATGTATGTGTACAGATGTGCTGCAATTCTCTTTTTTTCAAAATTTCCAAGAGTCACTGAGAAAGCAGGGGAAAAAACAGGTATTATTAATGTGGGATTTTCTGTTTCTCAGCTACTTCTCATGAAGTAGCTGAGAAAAATTACAAATCTAATGTCCTGCTCTTGCAAGGACTATATTCTAAGGCATACCATCATACCAAAATTGTCTATGGTAACCCTCTCCTATGAAGATCTGTAGTGAAAGCGGTACTGTGGTGGAATACTTTAAAAAAAACCCTCATTATGCAAAGAAGACTGGAAAAGGTAAAGCATGTCTACCTCTGCATCATATTTCACACCATCCACAGTGTGCTCAGATCCCTGGCCATCACAGGATCCCCAGTGAATGTGAAACTGCACCAGCCTGTAGACTCCATCCAGTGCTCCTCCTTGCACCACTGCAAAATAAAAGAGCCTTAATTAGCAAATCACATAATTTTTGTTATCAAGTCTCCCTTCAAACTGAAACAGCTATCTCAAGTCTTTTATGTGATTTACAGTTCATTGCATGCTGCCATGCTACTCCAGATCATCCTCAATGGTACATTACTGCAATACACAAATATTGATAATAAATGCATAAAAACATAAGTGACTTTACAGTGAGCATCTCATCAGCAATTTAACAGGCATGCTAGTATTACAAGTGATGAGGGAAGATGTAACTTTTCTGTCACCAAATAGATTTTAAAAACCCTTTGTAAGAGGCCCACATAGAATCATTCTTAGGAAGTACATTGAAGACCAAATTATCTTCGATGTACTAATGCAGTCTGTCCTTTCATTTTAGACACTTCATCCATTTAGGCCTTAATCCTGCAAATCCTGGGGCAGATTGGATTGAGTAAAATGTTTTTGGTTCCAATTTAAACCTGAACACCTGTTAGCCATGGGTTAGCCTCCTTGCAGCAAGGTAAAGTGCTAGGCACAGGACAAGACAGCGCAGAGATGTGAATTCAAATCTCTTGTCCTTCCCATTGTTGTAAAAATGGCAATGCCTACATAGATGGACTTTTTAGAAATGAGTTGTTTATTTATGCTCTCCATTATCTGGCATTACTCGTGCTATCGGACTGCTCTGAGTGAAGTTCCCAGCCACACTTGGAATTACACAAGGGCAAGCTCCCTTATTCTGCTTGTTAGTTTTACCCTTCTACTCCAACTGTGACCAATCGCCATTATGATATGCAGGATCAAGCCCTACCATTGCAAAATGCTGAGGGCACAGACAATGTCTCCTCCAGTGCAGCATAAAGCACAGAATAATAACAAATAGTTCCATTAAATAGAGCTATTTATCTAAGTTGTCAGAGAAAGGTTTCACACCAGTTTGTGGTTTGGTTGGAGTTTTTTTCCTTTTTTTTTCCACCAAGCATCTCCAATCCAAATTCAAAATTAAATCTTTAAGTTGTTAATATTTAAAAATTTAAAAACAATAAGTAATTTCAAGTGTTAGATATTTTAAGAGACCAATTTCTCTCTATAAATATATATATACAATAAAGTGACAGAAGAGTGCTGACATAAGATATTACATGTAAGTGTGCTCTGTGTATGTGCCAGAAAATGATTCTGTGGAGTAAAGATGCTTTCTTCTCAGTCTGCAGTTAGTCTAGACACTAGCACAATACGTGCATGTGTGAAAACATACATCAAGTGCTGATTGGAAAAGGTGGCTGCAGGTTTGAAAATGTTCCATTATATACAAGCATGGACAACACCAGCCATGGACATAAACAATAAGGTTAGAAAGATTTCACAAAAAATTTGCAACACATGAAAATTAAGTAAGATTTCTAAAATATACATTCGTTTCCACCAGTGTTCCCTATGCATGCAAAATTTGGGTTCAGTGGACAAATCTAGCATTTGCCTAGAGCTCCTTTGGTAAATATATTTTGAAGTCTCCCAACATGTATTTTTATTTGAAAAACATGAATAGATGTTCCACTGCAACATATGTAATTTCCAATACTGTAGGCAAGAGACCAGGACTTGCCCTACCTATTCCCAAGCTATGTGATCCAAAGAAGAATGTCTACTTAAAGTAATCAAGTAGGAACTTATTTTACTTTTACATTTCTGCATGTGCTAGTTGCCAAGAAGCATAACTGTTTCAAGCACAGGACTACAAATCTGAGTACTTTTTTCAGAACAGCAGCTGTGGAAGGGCATCAGTTCCTTTGGAAATGAAGCAACTGGTTGCTGTGTCTTTACAGATGCAAAACCATTTAATGCACACAATCTTGTGTTTCATTTTAAAATGATGCCATGGAGTTGCAATGTTTCAGTTCCTTTAGCTCACGGTCTTGCTGGTTGTTGCAGGTACAAATGGACTGAGGCTCCACTGCTCCTTGACCTCAGAAAGCACTAGCACAGCACAGGTTAATCTGCCATTATTAATCAATGGAAAGCATGCTGAAAAGCAGAACCATGCAATGTTCTTGAGTTCACTTGCAGTGTTATTTCTCCACACAAAGTTTGCTATAGTCTCAAAACCCCAAAAGATGCAGAAAAATCTCTTTGCACTTTTTGCTTACTTTTCTCATTCTGTGGTTCTCAAATCCAGCACTAGCTTATTTTGACTCACAGCAGAGCATTCAAAGAAAGTAATAATTAGATTAGTGTGAATGAATACAAATCCAGCAGGCTTAATTACAGAATGGCCCTCTTGTTCTAGCCTATGTTAAGCAGTTATTTTATTTTTAAGACTTCTCAGTCTTTCCAAGAAAATAAAACTAAACTTGAAAGGTAAAGTAGGAATGATAGAACTGGTTTTTTCTTCAGAATAAGCTTTCTAAACCATAAATAAATCCTACCAGCTTTTGCAATATAAAAGCTCACAGAGAATCCAGCAGTTCACATTGATGCCAGCAACTTCCCTGTCCTTGTTCCATCTGACAGGAATATCAACTCGAGACCACATTGAAAAAAAGTCCAACCTTTCCATCCCTTTTTTAAAAAGAATGGGGAAGTTCTGATCCATATTGGAGCACTTCATCATTAGCTCCCTTACTTTTGAAATCAGGACTAGTGGAAACCATCCTGAAAATACATATGTAGCTGTGACCCTTTCTGTTTTATAGCACAGCTTCAGATGCAACACTGCCTGAAGACAGCACAAGATGAGCTGAAAAAATATTTTCTCACAGATTCCGTTTACTCAAGACAGTTTACATCATAACCTGGTCATGTGTTATACCCAAGAGGTGACAGTTTGACAGTGCCCTTTCTTCTTTTCCACTATTAGATACTTATTAGACAAATTTGGAGCTACTTTCCTTAGACTAAGAAATGGTAATTTTTTTCCATTACCATTCTATCTTCTACCCTTTACTGGAAAAGTTATACTAGCAACATCCAGTAATTATATTTCACTGTTAAATCATTTCGTAACATGGTCTAAATTAGGTGAACAGAAGCATTAGCAGCACAAATTCAGGAAGTCAAATAAGCACACAAACTCTTCTACTTATGTGACTTACACCAACTGTGGGATACAGAAGGTGGAGTTGATTTGACTCCATTACACTTTCTTGGGAGTCTGAAAACATACAGAAATCAAAGGGTGTTTTGCTGCATCTGGTACAGCTGTTTACTGAGGCTACACACTTTCACTGCTCTATTTAAAGGAAACTGCATGAACAGTTATAGTGTAAACAGTGTAAAACAGAACAGCCTTGTAAAAAAATACTGTGGACCACTTCATACCTTTTTTCAGGAAGCGGCAGCATCCACATCTAAATTTTTGCAGGAATACTGTGGGAATTCCTGTTATTTAGTTAACTCCTATGGAATGTTCTCTTTATACAGAGCAGAAGACTAATACATCTCATAAAGCCAATAAACATGTCAAAAGATTAATCAAAATGGAGGAACTACAAGACTGTTTAATGAGTTTGACTGAATCCCTTCCTGTCATACAAATTAGCGTGACAAGAAAAAATACTACTGTAAAGTTTGTTAATCTGAGAAAATGCAGAATGAGAAAATGTTCTTCAAATGAGAATCACTGACTACAAAGCTCCTTCCAGCAGCTGAAATAATGGGTCCACTAGAGTACAGTAGATGTCCAAAAGCTCCAAACTTGGAGAATTAATTCTAATTGAGATTCCACCAAACAAAAACCCAGCAGCAGGATATTTCAAGCATCTACCTTTAAGAACAGCCCTCTCACACACACACACACTGCTTTAGCACAAAGAAAACCATGATTTTGTATCAGTCTGCAGTAGATGCGATGTGTAAATAACACTCTAGGCATATATTTATGTAAACATATGCATAGTACATACATTACTGCTAATATTTGGTGAGCTTTTGTGCATACACAGACATCTGTACAATGGAAAATAGGACGAAGAGACAAAGCAGATGAAGCATTACTTGAGGCAAGAAAAAAAACCTACTTGAGCACCATGTACTATTAATGACATGAAAAAGGCTCTTATGAGGATGCTCAGGAATTAGCCTTGTGTTCTTATGCAAGGATGGGCTTCCCATCTGACAGACTAGAGTTCAGTTAGGGTGAGCTGTCACTTCTGTGAAATGTGGAGTACAGAGAATCACATTTTGTGAGATGTTTCCTTCTTTATGTTACCTCTTTCAGACATTCCTCCTAGGACATTGTATCATGACAAGCAACAAGAGCAAGACAGCACTGAAGCATCTGACTGTAGGGCTCATATTTGCAGAAAATATCTGTAATGGGTTTCACTATGAGGAAAAAAAAAAAAAGTATATCATAAGGAAAAAACCCAAAACAAACCTACTTCTGACCTTGCTAGAAAATTACCCTGATAAGGCTACAAGGATGTTCCACACAGATAGACCAGAATGAAAAAGCTGCCAAAACACAGCAAGTCTGAAGACATGCGTATCTGCAGCAGGTCAGTGGTTCCAATTCACCTCAGTTGAACTATTTCATCCAGACTGGGCAGCAGCCAGGAAGACTCTGACCTGCTTCAGGATACAAAGTTATTTAGGTTCTTAACATTCCTCCAACTCCCTGGGACCAGTAGAGCTTATTTCTCATGTAGTCTCAAACAGAAATTCTCTGAGAATCATAAGATGCTGTACTGAGTCTCTGACCAGCCTTCAGCCCTCACATTTCACACTACAAAGGCTTACAACAACTTTAAGAACCAAGCTGGAAGTATTAAAAATTATCTTGAAAGAATCAACTGATTTAATTTCTAATAATAATACTTAAATACTAATGCAGTGGCTGCTCACTGAACTGAAAATTGTGTACTGGACAGTGTTCATACTACACTCAGATCTAATGAAGGACTAGCAAACTCAAGGTGTGAGCATTGCCTCTAAGTATGCAGCAGTCCCTCATGCCTGTAAGTAAATAAACAAATTATCAGCTGAGAAGAGTGGTAATCGTGACATCTGGCACACAGCTTCATTACGGCTTAAAAATAAACTTTTCCAAGTGGCCCCAGCTGATAAGAGCTGACTAGTTTCTCCTGGTTTTGCATTAAAAGCACCTCTAGAGGAGGGATTAGTAAAAGGGAAGGCAGTTAAGTTTCCATGATTGTTAAATTCACAATCCAAGTCAAATTTCTACTCAGCATTGCATGTTAACATAACAAAAGAAACAAAAAACAAAACAAAACAAAACACCAAAACCAAAAACAACAAACCAACCCCACCCCAGTGAAAATGAAGAAGGACACTTTTCTGTAAAGACACGAAGACCTGAAACGTTCAGGACTAATCTCATGCCTTCTCATCTTCCTTTCCAGTTCCTGGAAATAGTGGAACTATTCAAGTTACTTGTTTATACAGACTTTGCAGCTTCTGGTGATCCCAATTCGCAGGAAAAATGACTTAAAGATCACACGCCCTTGAAACCTCTGACTTTTTAGTCAAGCCATGCACAACATTACTTGTGACATAAGCAGGTGTCTGAATACAGTCCCCCAAATCTATAATCAAACAGTTCTCTGATTTCTGATTCCAAAGGATCAACACATTCATTGCTTAAGCAATGTGGACCTTCAATGCATGACCCTACACTGATGACATGCAATATTATTCTGGCATGGTTAATATTGTATCTTTAGATCTGGGAAGCCTAAAAATAGACCAGTAGCAGTGACTTTGATTAAGAGTTGTCCCTTAAAGACAGCAGACCTACATGTTTCTTCTTCCATTTACCAGCTGAGGTGAAATTGTAGGAGAAGAGTAAGAGTTGCACTGTTTTCAAAGAAATTCACTGCCAAGTGAGCAGTGCTAATGCACTGGCTCTTCAATAACCACTGTGACAAAATAGATTAATTTATTTACAGTGAGTCATAATTCAAGACAGCTGAAGTGTGTGCATTAATACTTACAATTATAGGAAGAATCAGATAATATATTGGATTACAACTACTGAAAGACTCTCAAGGGGAGCTATCATCAAGGTGAATACAGTATTTTCATTTTCAAGGTCTTCTCATAATTTTTAATTTCTACTATGACTTACTATTTGCAAAAATGTCTGATTTACTTGGGACACGACTTGAATTTCAATACTTTAGCTCAGCAGCAAGGCGAAGGAAACAATTAAGAGACTTAGCCACATGCATAAATGACCAGCACATTTTATCAAGTCTCTAGAGTTTGACACCATAGCTGCAATTCACTTCTGTCAGGTTCTACAGCTAAAATATGATATTTTAACATTCTTGTTATAGAATAAATTCATGTCTGATTGACTTCTTTTACAAGCTCATCAAACACTTGATCAGAAAATACAGAGTCAACTGTTGTGCACATGTCTCACTTGAATTTCAGAACTTAGATAAATTCTCAAAGACTCTCTGGGAAAACTCACACAGAGAACACACTTTATGCATGTTACAAAATCTTTCAGGCTCTTGAGGGTTTTTTGAGCAGAGTCACATCCTGTGGTTTTATGGCTCTGAGAGGTCGCTGTATACTTCTGTCTTTTAAAGTGAGGGAAGTGATAGACAAGTCCTTACAGAAGACTGGAATATGCAACGTTTAATATGATAAAAGAAGTACCTTTAATGAGACTCCTTTGCTGTAAATTTCCTGTATTACAGTAACACATCTTATTTTAAGAATTATCATCATCACTTCTTCACTCATACATGTAGGGTCTGGTTCCATCACAAGAGTGGATGAACCAGAATTCAAAGTTTTATTTCTAGCAACACTTTTATCATAATGCCTTCTTGCTGTCAAAATGAATAAGAAATTTTTGAAATTAGAAAATTTTTAAGATGAATAGCTACAAATACTTTATGTTCCACTACTATTAAAAGACAGTGGACATGAAAATTAAGAAAGCAATGCAAGAACTGAAGGCAAAGACTAAGTAACAACTGAATGGGGAAGTTCAGAGTTCACTTTCTACATACAAACCCAAGACAGCATTCCAAAAGACTCCAAGCATACAAAATAGAAAATACCTATTTTTATTACGCTATTACTACCTGCTTGTTTTTTTTTCTATTACAATTGTATATTTTTATTGTATTATTTATTATATTATTATTATATTTTATTTATTATATTTTAAATTGCATTTTGTGTACTCAGAAGAGCAAGAGTGATCAATCAGACACTAAGACCTAGAACAGCTGTTCAGTTTGCTTCAGTGTCATTAGTTCTGAGGCTGACGGTTCTTAATGAAATGGATCTACTTTGCGTGCAGTTACTCATCTTGAAGACTATTCACAAACAATAATCTTATTACTTCACTTTGCGCCTACTACTACAGATAATTCATTACCACATATGGGACAGCTCATAGAGACAAGCAATACAGCCTGTGGGAAGTATTTACAAGGTATTATTCCATTGTCTTCTGTAAAACATACCAGCACATCACATAACCTCACACAGCTTCTCCCTGTGATTGTTGTGTGATGTCTAAGCAAGAACTGGGTATGCACATTTGAGTCTCAAATTCAGAATCAAGCAGATACAAGTCAAAGACAGCTCTATTTTGTGTAAGGAAAGTAGGTTACCTAGTTAACCGCATACAAATGAAGCCATTAAGTGTGCTGCCAGGTAGATTCTATGCACTGTAAATTTCAATAGGAAGTCTAGTAGTGAATGATCCACCCTTACCCAGCTTCACAGAAATCTGTTTAGTGGTTTTTGTTTCTAAAGAATAATAATTTTTTGCTTCACTAATAGAGATACTGAGAATATTTCTACTTGCATCTCCTATCCTCCCACTCTGAAAGCTGTGTCACTGCATATTTGTCAAAGGATCCCTGTCACAGATGTTCTGGTTCTGCACTGACTTCTCATAAAGATCATTCTTCCTGCAGACATTTCTTTAAATTATTTTATGTTCCTGCCATTTTTTCCTCACAACCTGATTTTCACAGTTCTTTCCAGACTTAGGTACACACCAAGTGAACACAATAGTTTTTAATACTGTGGAGACCTGAACCTGGTTCCTTTGGGCACAATGAGAGCAGGATGGCAGCAAGAGTAGACTTGCATGTATCTGGTAAGAAAATATTTTTTTAGTACTCTGGATCATTTACCTTATTCTCCATGACACAGTTAAATTGAACACGATGCAGCTCCTTTAGCTTCCCAGTATTTCAAAAAAATAAACAGAGTTCAGAATACCTTTTTCCTCTCCTTTTTAAAATGTACAAATATCAACATTGACACTTTTTGTAAATTACATATGGACCTATATGTATTTATACAACTGTTAACACTTATATTAGCTGTGACCACTTAATATTGTCCAGCATAAAAATGATAGTTAAAATACAAAGTCAAATTCTTAGAGCGCTGCTGAATGTCTGCTATACCGCTGTGTTACATTAGTTACAAAAACCTTGTATTTTTAGCAGGCACAGATCATTTGGTTTCAGCACCATTCCTTAAATGACATGCCCAACAAAACACTTAGGAAAAATAGGACACTTGCTCAAGCAAATTAAATCAGGCAGTGTATAGAGAAGGCAGTGACTTACAACAGGATTGTTTTTGTTGTCCAAATTAAAAAATAAAGGCACATTCATTGTGGCAGGGTGATGACTTCTGCAAATGCAGCCATATGAAAAACTAAAATCAAAGACAACATACAGAACCCTTGTTGCAAGGACAGCTTGGATTCAGCCTGCCCATCAGAAAGGCCGTTCCTTTCAGCGAGGATTACTAAGGTTTTGCAGGATTCCACGCTTAATTTCACCACAGAGCACAATGAACACCAAGGGACTGTGGACCTGACTGCCTGCTAGCAACTTTTTAGGAACATGTCAGACACTTCATCCAGAAAGCCCAGCATCAAGAAATGCCAGGGATAATGCTTTTTTGACTTACAAAAGAACAAAGAGGTATTTCCTAATAACTCCTCTGTTTCTGTACTAACCTGGGAGCATATTGGCTTCAAAAATATGAAATAATATTTTGATAACCAAAGAAACTATTTCCACTTCAAGTTAACTGTAATCCTTTGCTATTCTAAGGCCATCTTTTTCCTACAATGTATTTTGCCTCTTCTTTTAACCATTTGATCAATAACTTATGATAACCTATGCCTAAAATTATTCCTGTCAAATACTATTTTTTTTCTTTCCACAGCCAAGCCCTTATCCAGATCCTTCTGATTATACAAAAATAAACCAATTCACCTCACTGAAGTTTAGCTGCCTAGAGAGCCTTAGTTTTCTTCCAACAGGATCTCAGTTTCCTGTTTGCTGAATCCTCACCTTACAGAAGCCAGAATATTTTGGTATGTTTTCATCCTTAAAAAACTCTTATGGGTTTAGTATATATTTTAGTAAGTTTTAGTAGCAATTTCTGCCATTCCCCTCCTGCACACGAAGGTGAGGTCTCACCTGACTTATCAGAAGAATCATCAAACTCCACGTTGAAGGAGTGCCCGTTGTTGACGATGTTTCTGGCCGTGCTGGCATCGTAACTGAAGCTAAGAGGCTTCAGAGAGGAGTCGTACTTGGCGGACTTGCGGCAGATGTCAATGGGGGACTGGCGCTCTCCATTGGCGATGGGAAAGTGCTCATGCCAGTGAGCGGGTCCTGTAAGACAGCGGAAAGCAACTCAGTGGAAAAAGACACAAAGTTCGGGGGATAAAAGCGATAACCCTCGCTCTGGAAATCGGGATGTTCGAACACCAGCATAGCCTTTAACTGCGTACCACCTGTGCGGGCTGGCGGTAGCGGCAGCAGGGGCGAGCGGAGATCCCACCTGGGCACCGAGGCAGCCGCACAGCCCCGGCGGTGAGGCGGGGGTTGTACCGGAGTCCTCGGGGACACCCCGTCCCGTGGAGTAGCGCCCGCGTTCCCTTCCCGAAGTAAAGGAATGTCAGCAGGGAAGCGGGAGATGCTCCGGCACAGCGTGCGGAGCGCCGGAGAGGCTGCCCGGGCGCAGGTGCATTTCAAGGTTACGAGAAGAAAGCGCCACCGAGCTCACTGCCGCTCCAGGCAAGGGCTCCGCGGAGCAGCAGCGGGCACGTTCCGGGCGCGGCTCCCGGGGACCTGCCGGCAGGTGTCCTGCCCCGCCGGGAACTCACCGTCGTGGCTGCCGTATCCCCAGTGGTGGGACATGGTGGGCGGCCCTGCTCTACCCGTGGAGGCTGTCACAGCACCGTGGCCCCAGCGCGCTCTCAGGAGCTTTTATAGGCTCCCGCCAACTCCATGCCCTTCTCTGCGGCCAGAGGAGGGGTGGGGAGTGCGGGCGAGGGCGGAGGGAAACTCCGCTGGGGGCGGAGAGAGCGGTCCCGTATAATCCGCCATCGGCCGCGGAGCTATGCCCGGGCCGGTGCAGAGCGCCCCCAGCAGGCAGGCGGGCGGGCGGTGCGAGGCGTTCGGAGCGGCCGCAGGCAGGGCTGGGGTGCCGGGGCTGCCGGCCCCTTCGCCCCCTCCGCCCCCTCCGCGCTCCCGCCGCCCTCCCGCCCTCCGTCCGCGCATCGCGCACCTGCGGCCGCTGCGCTGCGGGGCGCCGTGAGGCGCAGTGACCTTGGGAGGAGCCGGCGGCCGGGCCGAGCAGCGCGCCGGGAGCCGGTGCGGGGCGGGCGGCAGATGCGACAGTGCGGTGTGAGAGAAGGAGCGGCTGTGCGTCCGTGTGTCCCTCGGTCTGTGTGTGTGTCTGTGACTGTGTGTACGTGCGGGTGCGCGGCGCGGCAGGGCGGTCGGGTGCTGCTCCCTGCCGGGAGCGAAGGGAAAAGAGGGAAGAGGGCAGCCGGGCAGCGCAGTTCGGCAGCCGGGGCTTGTCATAGGTGCCAGGTTTTGGAGGCGGAGATCGGCGGAGTTGCGGAGGGGTGCTGTGGTGGGGCTTCAGAAGAACGGGGACGTCACCGGTGATTGCTCCGTAGTGCGTTTTCCCTGATCGCCTCCGGAGGAGCTGCAGGTCGAGCTGCGTTTACGTGTAATTCTTATCACTGAGGCATTACACACTTAACTGTGAGTGCAGCTCAGCCGCCGCTCTCGAGGCTGGATTAGCGAGAACGAAACTCTGCAATACATATTTTAGATGTTTTCCTATTGCGCAACGCTCCGGTGTTCTGTGGCAGGACAGGAGGGATCGGACCTTGGCAGCGCTTCCAGCGGCGGCTCCGTTCCGTTCCGCGCCGCTTCCCTCGGCCCGGCGCTGCGGTGGGGGGGCTGGCCCCGAGGGGCAGCTCCTGCCCGAGTGAGCTTGCAGATGGTCCTGTTGGAAGGCTGTGTCTGTCTTTTTCTGCTCTGAGCAGTTTTCGGTATGGAAATGACATTGTAACTTAACCCCATTGTCTTATTAAGATGGTTTATTAAAATCTGGTTTTAATATTGTTGTGGTTTAACCACAGGGGTCTAGGTTCTGTTTTCAGTGAGGTCATTGTAAATCTAGAATAACAACACCAGAATGACTTCATCATTTACATTCAGCATTGTAAAATCTTTGTGTTTTGTTTGTATTTGTAAGAGGGAGAAAAGTCTATTTGTGTAATGAGTACTATTGGTAACAGCAAACATAACCAGCTGGAAATTGCTTACAAAAATTACAGGCATTTCTCAGACCCTTTCACGTATAAGCAGAAAATATTTAAAGCTTATTAGTGATTAACACAGTGTGTGTCCTCACATTTGCATGCTTCAGTATGGTTTAGCAACCACAAAATGGAAATGTGATAGCAAAACTGTATACACAGAAGTTTTTAGAAATGGCTGTGGCATGTGATGTAGAACAACAAATGGAAATGCATGTTACACATTTTTGTTTCTAACACTGCAGCAGAAGCCATCCTGCTTATTTTATGCCCCCAAAGCAACAGCTGAGCTATCCTTGGGTGTATTCTTTCGAGGGCTTATGAGAGCCCTCGAAAGAGGGCTGAGAACTGGCCCGAGAAAAACACTTAATATGTGGTGCCCAAACAGGGACAGGGCAGAATGCAGGCACCAGCAGCAGGACCGGGAGGACAGGAGGAAAAGAAATTCTGAGGGGATCCGAAAGCTTTCCCTTAACCCATCTGAGAACCAGAAACCCCGGAGGACCGGCAGGGAGGTGGCCAGGCCAGCCGCCCCGCCTTCCCCACCCCCATCCTCGGAGAAGGGGGAGCAGACCAGCCCTGGCCAGGTTTGTCTGCAAATCACATCTCTTAGGACCCCTACCATAGCTAAGTCCTTCCGATCTCCTCTGAAAAATCCCCTGAGACGCACTAAATTGGTGAGTTTTGGCAGTAAAATCGGAAAAAGCCAAGCTGATTGCATCCACTCTGAGAGCACTGGAACACATGGCAGACACCATGATGGCCATGTGGCCAGCGCAGCCCTTCGTGGGCGTGGCTCACCATCCTCCTCGGCTTCCCAAAATTCCCTGAGTGACTCCTTGCTGAGCTCCTGCCCATCAGAGGAGGGACGCTCCCCTTTTGTGGGCCGAGCCCGGTCGGTGTCCCTGCCCCTGCTCCCTGCCCACACCCCCCAGACGGCATGCCCCCTCCCTGCCCCCCTTTTGTGGGCCGAGCCCGGTCGGTGTCCCTGCCCCTGCTCCCTGCCCACACCCCGGGACGGCACGCCCCCTCCCTGCCCAGCGTGGGAACTGGATGTGATGTCCCGGAAGCGACCCCATCCAAGATGGTGGCATCCATATCAGACAGCTTGCCAGAACAAAAAACAAATTATTGCTATACTCCACAGTGTTATTCCAAAGATTCTGAGGAAGAGTTTAATGGACAAGGAGTCACAGATACCTAGCAGAGGATAAGAAAGGATGCAGTTCAGGAGGGAGAGCGGGAAATTGCATCAAAGCTAGAAGTTTTTCCTGTGAAGTACACAGCAGGTGCTGCACCAAGAGCACATTGGCAGCAGATTAATTTTGCAGAGTTAAAAGAGATCTGCAAAGCCTCTCATTTGTATGGTAGAGATTCTGCATATTTCAGAAGTCTTTTGCAAGCCACTTCTACAGCAAATGTATTCACCCCTCATGATTTAAGGCAGCTTTGTACGTCCCTACTGTCCCCAACCAAGTATTCTCTGTGGGAACTCGCATGGAAACGTTTGTTAAATGACCTTTTAAGAGGTCATGCAGGAACTCCAGCCACTGCAAATGTAACTATAGATCAGCTATCAGGAGAGTCTAATGCAAACCCAAGCTGCAAAAAAAAATTACGTACTTTGCCACAAGATCCTGAGCCCACCCTAACACAGCTAGTGGATGCTTGTAACCGCCTGGGTACCCCTGAACATGCAGCAGCCATACAGGCAGAGGTACTGGCTAATGCCATCACCACAGCTCAAGAAAATACCCTAAAGCAGCAAGAAAAAGCTGTAGAAATGCAAACACAAGCCCTAGCAGAAGCTTTAGTAGCATTCAAAGGTGCAATTGAAAATCAGCAGTTTACAAGAGACTCGTGCTATTCGTGTGGTCAGAGAAGTCATTTTAAAAGGGGATGTCCTAGGATCCGCAGAAGGCCACTACCAAGAAACAGTGGATACTGGAGGTCTCTGTCAAAATACTAACAGTTTTCACCCAGTAGCGGGTTGTCCATGCCATCTGCCAGGAAACGTGCAGCCGAGCACGACGCAGTGGCGTGCTATGACACAAGAACCACTGTACCAGAAGCCACAGACCACCACAGGCCACCAAGTTCAGAACTGCAGCACATCTTTGCAGGACTTCTTACCACAATGTCCCCAGGTACCAGACTGGAGCTGTCTACAGCCCAGCCAGTGATGTTAACCAGTGCCATTGCTCACACAGTATCCACAGGACAGCTAGGACCTGAACCACAGCCACGTCAGTTCTTAACAGTGGGAGTGAACAGATCGCATGCAGAAAGTTTTTATGTCATTCCAACTGTGTTATCTGTCACTTGTTGACAAGAAATTACAGTGTTAGCGTTGTGTCCAGCCCCTCCATGTTTTTTACCCAAAGGACTAACCATAGCACAAGCTTTTCTCCTACCAGAGTCACAGAACAACACAGCTGTCATCGCTTGGACCAGGCACATCAGCCGCGGGCGGCCTCAACTCACCTGTGTCCTGAAGCACCTCGGGAAAGCCATCACCCTCACTGGCCTGATAGATACCGGAGCAGACATCACTTTGATATCGAAACGGCCACAGGACTGGACCATCGTGCCGACGCTGGATCAGCTGGCAGTTATTGGTGGTCACTGTGAGAGCTTTCGAAGCTTACACTCAGTCACCTTTGAGGGACCTGAAGGTCGTGTTGCCACCACAAGACCATTCATTGTAGGCCCTGATATAGTTCTCTGGGGACGAGATCTTCTCTCACAATGGGGGTTGAGGTTAGAAACTGGATTTTAACAAAAGCTGTTGATGGACAAAACACTTTAAAATTGACATGGACATCTAATACACCCATCTGGGTCAGCCAGTGGCCCTTACCCAAAATTTTGCAGGAAAAATTTCAGTCAGTTGTCCCAAACATGAACTATTAAGTTCATCTTTAAAATTAATTCATAAGCCTTTGAGAAGCCATGCACCCCTTGAGGCAATCACATTTTCTACAGACGGCTCTGGGAAGTCTAAAAAATCTGTGATTGCTTGGCAAAATTCTGAGACAAAAAACTGGGAATCAGATATTGAAAAAGTAGATGGTTCTGCACAGATTGTAGAATTAGCAGCAGTTGTATGGGTCTTTTCAAAATTCACATTTCCTTTTAATTTAGTAACGGATTCAATTTATGTTGCAGGTGTAGTAGAGAGAGCAGAAGGATCTCTGCTGAAAGAAGTTTCTAATGATCAGTTATGCAGTTTGCTTAAAAAGTTAATGCTACTTCTTTCCATTCTACAAGAACCTTACTTTGTAATGCATATTCGCTCACATTCTTCTCTTCCAGGTGTTTTAGCAGAAGGCAATGCCATGGCTGATTTGTTAGCCATGCCAATCCAGCACACACTTCCTAATGTTATTGAACAAGCCAAATGAGCCATGCTTCTTATCATCAAAATGCACCTGCTTTAGTAAGAATGTTTAACATCTCTCAAAATCACCTTCCTGAGAAGGCTGGCTCGAGTTTTTCTGTTTGTTATTTTGCCTTTTATTAAACCTTTTTTGTTTCTAACACTGCAGCAGAAGCCATCCTGCTTATTTTATGCCCCCAAAGCAATAGCTGAGCTATCCTTGGGTGTATTAAGTTTCTTTCAAGGACTGTATTAAGTTTCTTATGAGAACTGGCCCCAGAAAAACACTTAATAGTAAGAACCCTTGAAGAACAAAGCAAAAAACATCCCTTTATGTTGTAAGAAGGAATAAGATTTTGGTACCTTTCAGAAGGTTTCCTTCCATTCAATTTTACTATTGAAAAAAATCCATTCAGCCTGATTCTTCTGTACTCTCACAAGTCAAGTTTCCACTGACGTCAGCAGGAGTACCATATAAAGGACAAGTACAGCATTAAACATGACACAATATTTGGCATGGTAGGCTTCCTAAAAGATCTCAGGGCTCTTACCAGGGAAATTAAGTTACCAGCATCACCAAGGGACTGGGATTTTTAATTATTTGGATCTTCATTGTCTTATCAGTAGATAAAAGTGGTGCATGCTAAGCACACAGACATAACATCCACAAATAGAAAGTCCAGTGCTCATAAAATTAAGTGCCTATTTTCCTTGATCATTCAGCAGTACTTGCAGGCTTGAGCCCAAGCCAAGGAACTAATGAGAGCCTGGCATTGACTTGGGCTTGTTGATTCCAGCCTCTTTCTTTTCTCTCTCCCACCTGCATCAGACTCACAATTTGTGCCTGTGGCTTTATGGCAGAATGCAGTGCCTCAGGCAAAGCCAAAAGCTAGCCCCGAGAGGAAGGTGGATACTAGAAATGGTACAATTGATAACAGTGCACACGGGTGAAGCTGCAAGGCATGTTAGCAACAGCAGAAGAACACAATACACATCAGCTCAGTGCCTGCAGCAGTTCAGGCTTCTCACAGAAATCCAAACTATGCTCCGTGAGGCTGCTCTTCCCTGCCACAGTTGTGATGAAGACGGTGGAATTACGCACACCAGTGAGGCCTGCTTACATGTACAGAATGTGTAGGAGCAGTTCTTAAAGCACATGTTCACAAATCCTGTGACAACAGAAGCATTATAAATACGTTTCAAGCAATACAAATACAGAGAACAGATTAGTTAACTACTATAGCCATTTGATTACTCATGATTGACATTAACATTTTGGGTAGAAAAGGTGCCAGTGCAATCTTGTCTCCCTTTTCTGTCAATACTGGTACCACATACTGTGAAGGTTTTTAGAAACTAATAAAACCAGATGCTATTCTTCATCTCTCCTCAATTTCTTAGAGTCAGATCACATCCAAATATGGTAAACAAACTGGTATTTCTAGATTTGATGGTACTTCTGAATGATATTAAATACAAACAGAAGCAGCATCAATAGCTTCATAAGTGCAAACTCTTCACTCATTCAGATACCTCCATGTTGTTTATGGTACTCATTCATGGGCAAAGGACAGTACAAAGTCTGTACATCACTTAGGTCCCACCTGAATTCTGTTTTGAAGTTTTACATGTCACAGAATAGTTGTTGACTCTGTGCACAGGAAGGGCACATCCTGTTTGTGTATGCTTTATGAAATTTCCTGAAATATATTTTTATTGTGATTATTATTACTTGTGAAGCACAAAAAATGTCAGTACAGATGGAAAATGGCACAGATGCTTCCATATCAAAGTCTTTTTTTCCTTAATAAATTACCAGCTTCTAGTACTCTGGCTGCAGGAGTGATGACATGCCACACAGGCTGTAACCTGCTGACATTTTCAGCAGAAGTGCATTCAATGATTATGTTGTTAATCTACCTTTTAATTTTCATGGTAGATTTTCAACTCTGAAAATCTATTTGCAGTCTTTTTTTAGCGTTAACAGTCATGTTACTGTTCAGTGCTGAGCAAGAAGCAGAAGAAACATGCAGTGTTCTGATTCATTCTAGCAATTCTGTGAAAGTTGAATGCAGTTACGAAAACAAAAGTAATTTTTGGTCCTCGGTCAGGTTAGAGTCCTTTCTTGTATTGCAAAAATGATGGTTTACTACTAATTTCTAATGGGAGACTAATGCAAGTACTACAAGCTTCATGACATGTCAGTGCAAGTGGGAAATGCCCAACTGCCTCTCTTGCTGAGTTTAACTATTGCCGATACAAGCCACTTCAATGCATTTTGAAATATATATATACACTTTGAAATATATCACATTTAAGTAATCTCTGCTGTAAAAATGAACAAGCTTGCCTACATGAATAGACTTTAGTTTCCAGACAAAAGCTATTTGTCACAATTCAGTGAAATTGCATCCACTTGATAAAGCCCTGTGCATTGTAAAATTAATGTCAATAAGGACATTTTAGTTAAGTCCTGCATCCTGCATCTTCTCACACCAGGCTAATGTATTGGTTCACTAGCTGCCGTGATGTTTTGAGCTGTCTCACAGGCCTTTAGGAGCCTGGTCTTTACAGTTTCAGGTGCTATTTCCTTGTTCATGTGATAGTGTGCCTTCCTCACATGAACGTGTCTGTGGTCATCATCCTGAATTCTTACTATGTATCTTTCTGCAAATACTCTCCATAATGTTTTGAAAACCTCTGCCTCCTGCAACTGGCATTGTGCCATGTGGTAAACTTACATCAACTCCCACTGGAAGTCTATTACCAGGATGCACGTGAGAGTATTGCAAGGCAACGGTGGCAGCAGCAGCTCGCCAGTCTGACACAGTACAACACTGCATGTGCAAAGGATTTAAGCCTGGTTTATAAAATAATCAAAGCCATCAGCTTCCAGCTGGTCACAAGGAAGTCACTCGCTATTCCTCTGCCAAGAGGTGCCGGCACCATTTGGAAGATTGAGAAGATAATGTTAATTCTAGAGTTCCTGCCACCAAGGTCAGCAAGTTATAGATTCTTCTTTTAAAAAGTTACTAGCTTCCAAAAGTTTCTTGCTTCTGATACCCTCAGTAACTTCTGGAAGAAAAATGTTACATTTGGATAGAACATAAAACATTTTTATTGTACTGATACAGTGACTGATGAAAATGAAAGTCCTCTGCTGTAGTGAAAAATAGTTGATGTAGCACATACTCATATTTGGACTCACCAAATATTACAGCTTTAGAAACACTAAAATGAGTGCAGCATGAGTGAGAAGGGAATTCCCAAAAGACAACAGAAAGTTCCAAAGTAAACTTCTGTATCTTTCCAAAAACAAAAGAAAAGGTAAGAAATCAGTTTATGAAACTGAACTAAAGAAGAGAGAAATGGAAACAAAAAAAGAGGAGTACCTAATTACACAGGCTGAGAGATATCTATGGAAAAAGGATTGAACCTTACCTCTAAGTACAGCTGAAAGCAGTAACAGAAAATAGATTTGTGAGAAAATTTAGTATTTACCTTGGTGTCAACTATTACCATACAAATGTTCATATACATAAGTAATTGTATGTATGTAATTCTATTGGGTTCTCTGATGAGTTTATTAATGACATCTATCCTGCAAAATGTAGATCAATTAAATCACCTGAACTTAAAAAACCCACCAAAATCAAACAGCCATATCGCTTTCATCTTCATTGCAGGTAAAAATGTAAAATTTAGGAAGAAATGAGATTTGAACTTCTGTGACAATTTCTTAATTTCAAATTAAACAAACAAAAACAGACAGCACACTCTGAGAACGTATTCTGTTTTTGTTATTAGAGACCATGCCATGCTCTGCTGTTGTTTGCTAAATGTGTAAATTGAAGGCACTGAATATAGTATTCAACCAGATATCCCTGTAATGGGCATTCTGAGATTTACTTTTCATGAGATCCTACACAAAGCTCCTACTTTGAACACAGGAATGCTGCTTCCCAGGGTATGAGGGAATGGTGACAAGCTCCTCTTTTACTCTTTGAAAGAAGATTCTACTCCAGCTACAGACAATGTAACGAAAATTCTCGTGGGATGGGAAAAGCAGTGCTAAGCACACAGAGGGACTATGAGCTGTGTGCAGAGCAGTGACCAAGGAGGGCTTCCATGGGAGTTCTCAGTTGCCCCCAGGATGGGAGGTAGATGGTGGCTGAACACCAATGGCTGCACTGTGCAGAGCTTCCAAGTGTCATGTCACAAGGGAATAAATATTGGTTGTTTGTTTTTAGTTTTTCTTGCTAATTTCACAACCAAACAAGCAGGAAATATCAGAACCCTCTTAGTAACAAAAGACCTTCACCTTGCTTTGCCCAAAATCCCTTCACATGAATCTATGCCTTTTGCCATCAATGGCTGTAAAGAAGGAGGGATACAAACCCTAACCTTTGATCCAAAGCCTATACCTGGGGCCTCTGGTTCTAATGAAATACTGCAAATTGAACTG